AAAAAAAGTTTCAAACACAAATATTCGATACAAAAAAGTTCATTCGTGAGTTCTTAGTAACTATTGAAAAAACATTTGTAATCAAGGGGGCGAAAAACAAGTGTCACTTATCAAATAACCGTCATTCGAAACGCACACATCATTCAAAAATGTGATGAAAATGAATGGATCCACATTTTTTACAGGTGAAGTTTTCATTTATATTATAGACATAAAGCCAATTGCGTTAATTCATTTTCTATCGCTGGTGTTTTTACGAAATATGCGATCAAACAAGGTTCTTTAAAAGAAATAAAATGTAAACTTAGTTCAAATGCTGGATTGAAATTGCAAAATTTAGAATCTTTTTTTAGGTTATACTAAACTTTTTTGCATTGCATTGTGGCCATTGCTTTCAATCATAATGATATAATTTTTTCTATTTTGAATGTTGGTCTTGTCCAATAGCATTCTTTCGTTTATTGCCACGATGTCCAAGACAATTTAAGCAAGTACCCAAATATTTCGAAAAAATAACATGTTTTTAATCAGGTGTGTTGTCCGGAATGAAGTCTCAAAAACTAACTTTCCTTAATATCAACCCCATATTTATATAGCATTTTTTTTTAAAAAAAAAACCTCTCAAAAAATAACATTGACGTCAAAGAAATATTTCTAGTTTAAAATTTAATACATTTCTTCTACAATATAAACAGTTTTGGAAATAAAGAGTTTACACGTGTTTCGCATTGTCAATACATCTGTTAATTCAAGTATAAAGAGTATGTATATTGTGTGACGGGATGAAATTGACTTTATGGATTTAAATCCATAGAAACAAAATTACTGTTATAGATGTAAAAATATGCCCCCAATTCTTTTTCAAATAACAACGTAAATTTAACGCTTATTTTTCATTTGATATGATTTGCTATAACAGAATCAATAAAATTCTGTTCGTCCCTTTACATTTACATGGTTTATTTTCGATTCATTCAATAATCTATTTCATAGAATATAACTATTAGCTAATCTCTTCTTCATTCTTTCATTTCATCGGCATTTAAGAAAAATTAAATTTCCACTTTTTTCAAACAAAGTTGTGTACTTTGATAAATATTCAATTGCAACTATATCAAATCCATTTCAGCCCTTAACTAATTTAATGTTAATCAATATATTGGATTGATAATATTTATTTTGGGTGTTAATAAAAACTAAAAAAGAATCAACTAAAAATATATCAAGATAAAATAAATGTATTTTTGATTTTTCAATAACTGTTTCATTTATTTCAAAGAAAGCATTTTACATGGAGTAAAAGACTGAATTATTTCTATGAAAAATATGTTTTTCAGAAATTTACAATTTAACAAGTTCTTTGAAATACACAGTAAATGTAACTCAAATACTGTATTGGAATATTTTATTTGCAGTTTAGATCTTTATAATAATCATTTATTCATTGCGTAATAATGATATCATTTCTGCTTTTTTGAAGATTGACGTTTTCTTACATTTTTTTGTTTTTTGCCACGTGAATTCGATGATGATGGTGCCTCGTTCTTTCCTTTAAGGATGGGAGGTTCTTCTTCTGATTCAGAGGTTGAATAATAACTGTGACATAAAGAATTTGTCATTTTAATCTAGATAATTATTTATACATACTATTTATTGTCTCTTACCCTCTTTCCTCCGTTTGTTTAATTTTTTTGCTATCGATAATCACAGATTGCGTTCAAAACGAGAAAAAAGTCAAGAATTTAAACAGATCAACATTTGAAATAATGATGTTACCGTGTTTTTTCAAGTTGTTGTTCATTCTCCTTTACTTTTCTCTCCAATTCCTGAATTTTCCTAAAATATTAAGTGTTACGTTCAATTTAATACATATTAACTTTAGACATTGTAAAAATATGAATAAATAAACAAACTCCAATGTACGTTGAGTTTCCATCTCATTTACGTCGTCAAACTGATTGTTTCTGAAATATAATTTGTTTTAATACAGTAAACATTTCTTAAATGAGGTAAAACAAAAATTGAATGTCATAGTTTTAATGTAAAAAATAGATTATTTGAAAAAAAGCTTAAACTGAGAAACAGTTTGTCTTTATTTTTCATGATAAATAAACATACAAATCTTGTGGTGGTGGACTGTTGTCATTTCCAGTAGCGTTTATCGGCCTGTTGGATAAAAATTCATAATAACTCTTAAAAATTGTTACGGAAAAGAGCATAAGATATATGATATAAGACAATAGATTTATCATTTACTAAACCATTGTTGATACTTACAAGGTCACGATGGCTAAAGCAATTAAAGCAAGTACCCAAATATTGCGAAAAAATGACATGTTCTTTAATAAAGTGTATTGTCAGGAATGAAGTCGCAAAAACTAAACTAACTTTCTTTGAATCTACCCATATTTATATAGCATTTTTTTTAAAAAAAACCTCTCAAAAAATAACATTGACGCCAAAGAAATATTCCAATTTTAAAGGTTATACATTTCTTCTGCAATGTAAATATTTTTCGCTTTGTAAATACATCTGTTAATACAAGTGCAAAGAACAATATACTTTCAGTTTTAAAAACATTTGAATCCAAAGAAATAAAATTACTGTTACAGATGTAAAATACCATCAATTCTTTTTCAAACAACCACGTTAAACGCTTATTTTTCATTTTTATATCTATTGAATATATCGAGAAGAGAGTATGTTATTCAGCGCTTATGGCTGAGTAATGTCTGAATAAAAACATACTCTCCTCTCGATATTTTCAATAGATATAACCCGCGGGTTGATTTCTATTAATAACGTTCGAAATAGAGTGGATATTTTGATAAATAAAATAAATTATTAGAAATCTAGAAGCATTTCAATTATGAACATTAATATCTGAGAAATGTGCATTCACAAGCACATATTTGACCGGATGCCAGATCAAATCAATTTCAAACATTATTCAATCCACGTTTGTAAACGCATCAAAATACATATTGACTTGAAAATGTTGGCGAAAATATGCAATAAGACGCGGAATCATTTTGAATAGTATGGAAATGGTTATCGATTTTTGGTCTTCAACGGTGTCTTTAGAAGTGAACTGTTATATAAGCCTATGTGATCATTCCACTCTAAATATTAGTCCTTTTACATTGTAATCGCAATTAAATTCAACATTATATTAGATTATATGTAAATTACAATTCCATATGCAAACACGACCATATACAAACACATGAATCAAGCAAATAATATGTTATGATTTGAAATTAATTGCATTGAAAGTTTTAAATTGCGTTCAAATTGCGTGTAATAAGAATAACATGGACACTTTTTTTTCATATCAATTTGTATCAATATACTGAGTCGAATGTAAAGTTTTTGCCGACCAATTGCTAAACAGTTACATCAATGACATGAATGAAATCGAATTTTGAAAGTTTTGTACTGCATTTTAGAGAAGATAATTCAATTAGGGATGCAAATAGAAATGAAAAACGGCTCATCTCGACGTGAGATATACGTTCATTGTCAGCTCAAAATCAAGCATTGATTGTTTGTTGAAATGGCAATATCATTAGCATGAACTTTGCAACACTATTCATATGCAAACTAAATATTCTATCGAATGTGAACGAAGGTATTACATGATTTGCATTTCTATTTGTTCTAATCAAAATTATTGCCGAATATATGCATGCATGTGTACATTGTACACTGTACAATCGTTCGGGCCCGTCCCACTAAAGATTCTTTAATTTTCTGAACAAACTGCTTGTTACTGATGGTACATGTACCATATCCGGTGTCACTGTGCAACTAAGGCTATTTACGTTGATCACGTTGTGTAAGCTCAAGCACATCATTTACACAAACCTACCGAAAACCAATTGGCTCGTTGATTTACTGGATTGGCAACCAGGGCACCATTGAATTGTTGCCGAAATCATAGCCGCAATTCCACATGGTAGAGGTATCGGAATGTGATTATATGATGCGGCTTGCATGTGTGCTTGTGTGCTGCTTTGATAAGAATGTGTTCGATGAACACAAAGATTTATAAACACACGCACACAAACACTAAAATTGAAATCTTGTAGCATTACATATCGAGCACTGAACTAATGACCTGTAAAGAGTGTATACAATCTGTCGTTGTGCCAAGTAGAAATGGTGTATCAACATAATCACTTTAAATTACTTTAGAATTTTGTAATGCCGGAGCATTTGCGCGACAAGAACACAGCTCACATATGTTCAAAAGCGAAAGAAATGTAAAAGAAGCAAAAAACCAAACCATTGCACAAGCGATTTAGTTTTGAGGGTTGGAAACGATGTTTGATGTGACTTCGATTTGATGTGAGCGCGCAATCAAATCCAGTTTTTCGAAACACTGCACAAATACAAAAAATCTCATTTTTCCGTGCTCAAATCGATTGAAAACAACCAAATACGTCGCTCTTCGTCTCTTTCTTCGATTTTGTCATTTTAAATAACATTTCATTTGCACACACGCAATCAATCGACTGTGGAGCAACAATTTTACAAGTTTTTGTTGATCTATTTTCCTGTTACTTTCACGTTTCGTTCATTTTTATTCCCTCTCGAAATTGGCACATGTAAGGATTCACGTACGAAGAAATCGCTTCGATGGTTGTAAAGAACTTTAAT